GTGACAGTCCCCGAATTGGATGATCTGTCCCCGGCTAAAGCTGTCCCCGATTTAAGCGTTTCATGAATGAGAACAAAAATGTTGCATGTGGGCTAGAACAACGGTTATTACAGTAGGTAGGAAGCAGTGGCGATTGCTCTAAGACTGCAAGGGAAGCTCAGCTTCCCTTAAAATGTCACCCCCCCAAAAAAAGAAAAAGTGGTGAAATACGTACTGCTGTGTGTACATTTCATTAACTAAATACGCGCTAGAAAGCCTTCATCTTTTGTTCAGAATCAGCTTCTCATCACAGTGTGATAAGAAGCTGATTCTGCACAACTTCGTTCTCATTCATCCTTGCAGCACCTCAGCGCTTTAAACAGCCGGACGCTCGGCTTCTGCTGACTTCAATGTGGAAGCTCAAAGTGGGTTGTTCCAGCAGTGAAACTAGACGCTCATTGGATAAATGCTGGGCTTTGTCCTGCCCATCGGACGCTCGGCGTCTCTGGAGTTCTATGGCGAGAGGGCGGTCCCGACTTTCTCCCGGACTCCGAGCTTCTGCATCCATGATTGGATGAGCTGTCTGAGGCGGAATCCTTTTTTGATTGACAGCTAAACAAGCGAATCAGCGATCTTGAAGAATAAAACATCTACCAAAGCAATTTCCAAGTTATTCATTCCGTTGTTCTTAACTGCTCCAGAGACTTTACCGATCCTCAGACTTTTGTCTTTGTTAAAAATGACTGCCGTTGTGTTTGGCGACTCTGTTCTGTTACATACAAATAAACAAACACAATTATGATGTAGGCCAGAAAAATGAGCTTCCACTCCTTGAAAGACCAGCAGCTGCCACTGGGAGGAAGCACAAGTAAGCAGTCCTGAACAACAGCATTTATGGGGGTTATTATAAGGGGCGTGCGCTGCTACTTAATAGTACTGAGATGTTGTCTGTGATCACACAGCCCATGCAGCTCATGCCCATTCATTTCCAAGATGAATTCACTCATTTGTTCATTCCTATCGTGTTTAAATTTTTTGTGTGATATGTCGGCCATATGAGCCTTTCATAAAGGTGGTCATCCGGAAAAGTAAGTGGGTCCGTGCAGTCCCTGAAAACTCTCGTGCACCGGAGTGCTCCTCCGCAGACAATACGAGCACCGAGGTCTATAGGATCCTCCAAGAACGGACAAGCCGTTTTTCGAGAGAGCTCATTGGTCAGTGGGTGAGCTCAATCTGGAACTTAACCTGCCCCGGAGCAGGTTAGCCGTTCAGTGTATGTTGCTATGGAGACTCGCCTCGCTAAGAAGTGAACCCGCGTCGTAGAACAGGAAACCCCGAACTTACCCTCGAAGTTACCTCGCTAAGCAGTAATCCTGCTTCGTAGAACAGGCCCCTAGTCTAGTGGTATTTTGGTAGACCAGTGCGCATGTAGTGCGCATACGTCACCGATGCCTCTTTTCAGTGCAATAAATAATCAACAACAGCCAAAATTCTACGTTAGCAAATACATTTAGATTTATAGATATATTCTAATCTATATCTGATCTGCTAAGCAAGTTTGGCACGCGTTTGAACACACAACCTGACCGAATCAACACAGCTGAAACAGCACTAAATTAAATATCCAGTAACCAGTCACGCATGATGAAGTTAACAAGATATTTAATTTGTCCCCCTTTCTCTCTTCCTCCTTTTTCTCGCGCAGCTGGTCTGGACATGTCTCTGTGTCCTCTCCCCATCCTGAGGCTGCGGTGGCAAGGCTGAACAGATGGTTTATTTTAGTGATCAGATGAATTACTTCGAAAATTTGAACAAAAAAGTAAAACAAACTTTAATTTTAAATAACCCGTATATCTGATTTCCCTTACATCCTTAAAATTCTGTGAATATTCAATCCGGAGTTAGGCCCACATATGAATATTATGATATTTAGTTGTGTGAGCTAAAATCATCTTATATGCCAAAATCAATGAATCAATCAATGAATCAATCAATCAACTTTATTTCTATGGCACATTTAAAATAACCACAAGGGTAGCCAAAGTGCTGTACAATGACACATAAAAACAGTCAAAGAACAAGATAAAGCGAGCAGAAATACATTAGTGCAAGGGAATAAATAAGTAGATAAATAAGCAGGCTCACGGCAAGTGCTAAAATGATAAAAAACAAAATAACACTAAAAAGTATCAAAAGCCAAGGAGTAAAAGTGTGTTTTTAAAAGGGATTTAAAAACAGGAAATGAGGAGGCCTGTCTGATTTTCAAGGGCAACTCATTCCAGAGCTTCGGGGCAGCAGCAGCAAACGCTCTGTCCCCTCTGAGCTTCAGCCTTGTATTTGGGACCGTCAGTAGCAGCTGATCGGCTGATCTTAGGGGTCGGGGTGGGCAATAAGGCTGGAGCATCTCAGAAATGTAAGGTGGAGCAAGATTGTTCAGGCTTTTAAAAACAAATATTAAAAGCTTAAAATTAATTCTGTGCTGTACAGGGAGCCAGTGTAAGGATGCCAGGATGGGGGTGATGTGCTCACGCCTGCGGGTCTGGGTGAGGAGACGTGCAGCAGAGTTCTGCACAAGCTGTAGGCGGGCAAGGGAAGCCTGGCTAATCCCTATGTACAAAGAGTTACAGTAATCGAGACGGGTAGTGATGAAAGCATGGATTAATTTTTCCAGGTCAGGTCTTGATAAAATGGGCTTCACCTTCGCTATTTGACGTCGCTGATAAAAACTTTTTTGTACCACCCCGCTGATCTGCTTCTCATATTTAAAATCAGGGTCAAATTCAACTCCGAGATTGGTGACGACATCCTTCAGATAGGGTGAGAGGGAGCCAAGGTCGATGTTGGGGGGGTGGCCGCCACTTGGTCCAAACAACATTACTTCGGTCTTGTTCTCATTAAAGCTGAGGAAGTTAAAAGAAAGCCAGGCTTTAATGTCCTTAAGGCAGTCAGTAAGTTGTTGGACTGAGTTGTTCTGTGCCAGTGGAAAATAGATCTGACAATCATCAGCATAAAAATGAAAGGATATGCCATGTTTCCTAAAAACAGAACCAAGGGGGAGCAGATAAAAGGCAAATAAAAGAGGGCCGAGGATTGAGCCCTGGGGGACCCCATGTGGGAGGGGAGCTGTTGACGACACAGAGTTGTCAAGTTGAACACAGAAACTTCTGTCCGTTAAGTCCAGGGCGACACCCTTAATGCCCACACAGTGCTCCAGGCAAGAGATTAAAATGCTGTGGTCAACAGTGTCAAATGCAGCAGACAGATCTAGGAGCACAAGGACAACAAACTTTCCAGAGTCTGTTGACAAGAGAATATCGTTTGACACCTTTAAAAGCGCTGACTCTGTGCTATGGAGAGCTTTAAAACCAGACTGGAACAACTCTGTGATACCATTATCTTCCGAAAAATGGCAACAATTGATTGTAGACCACCTTCTCTAGAATCTTGGACAGATATGGAAGATTTGAGATGGGCCTGAAACTGGCACAGAGGAATGGGTCAAGGCCAGTTTTTTTAAGTAGAGGTCGTACTACAGCATGTTTGAAATCCTTAGGTACTGTACCAGAGGAGAGGCTACTGTTAACAATATTAAGGACACTTGGTCCAATAGTAGCAAGTACTTCTTTAAACAAGCGAGGGGGGATGGCATCTGCAGGGGAACCAGAAGGCTTCATATGGCTGACTATGTCCTTAAAAACGGAGAGGGACACAGACTCAAATTTGGCAAAGACAGATGAGGGGTGCAGAGGGGCTGAAGGGTCATACGAAGGTTGAGAGATACAGGCTCTGGTTGACAGAATTTTATCAGTGAAGAAGTGGAGGAATTTTTCACAAATTTCAGTGGAGGCATCAAAACCAAGAGACTTGGGAGCCTCAAGGACAGTGTTTATGGTTTTGAACAGAGCTCTGGGGTTGTTACAGTTAAAAGCAATTAATTCTGAGAAGTATTTATTCTTCTCGGCTTTCACAGTCTTTTGATAATTCCAAAGGCTATCTTTAAAGATGCCAAAAGACACATGCAGTCTGTCATTTTTCCACCTGCGCTCCGCCCTCCTGCACTCACGCCTGGCTGCATGGGTGACGTCATTCAACCAGGGCTCGGGCGTAGGTTTGGTGCGCCGGGTTTTCAGAGGAGCGATCGTGTCCAGTGTTTGTAGACAGGTGGAGTGAAATCTCAGTACCAGTTCCTCAGTATCCACACACACAGGGGCTGCAGAGTCATCCTCGCAGAGACCAACGTAGGTATAGGAGAACAGAGCAGGCGAGGAAGAGTTAAACATGCGACGCGGTTTAGGAGGAGCACGCAATTTAACCGGACACTGAGTGGGGATGTCAAATAAAATCGGCATATGATCCTGGAAAACAGCGTCACAAATGTCGAGGTTGGAAACACACAGACCATGCGAGAGCACCAAGTCTAGTGTGTGCCCGAGATTATGTGTAGAACCGGACACAGACTGCACAAAGTTAAAAGAGTCAATGAGATTTAAAAAGCTCCTGGAGACTGGCTCTTCAGGGCAACAAGTGTGAATATTAAAATCACCAACAATAAGGACACGGTCGTATTTCGGCAAAATTTCGGCCAGAAATTCAGAAAAGTCACTTATAAAATCCTTATTGTACTTGGGTGGTCGATAAATGACGGCGCACAGGACAACATGAGAGCAGCCCAGTTCAAACAAGCACATTTCAAAACTTGCAAAGGAGATTTTCAGGCTGATCTGCCGGCATTATAAGTTGCTTTTAAAAATAACTGCTATTCCACCTCCTTTTCGACCAGACGACCGCGGGGAATTAAAATAGCAGCAATCCGGCCGGCAGAGTTCAATAAGAGGACTGGACTCACCGGTACTCAGCCATGTCTCCGTCACACAGAGAAAATCCAATCCACGAGACATGAGGAAATCCTTCAAGATAAAAGTTTTGTTTGCCAGTGATCTGGCATTGACAAGGCCGAACCTGGCAGAGATCGGCACATCCGAGGCATCGGCTGATCGTGGAGCCCGACACAGGGCCCGTAGATGGCGGGGATTCACCCAACGATGGCAGGGAGGAGGAGAGCAGGAGCCGCGGGGATGGATTACCTCACCCGAACCGACGACGGGTACCAGCCAGGAGTCGACAGGGTCCAGCGATCGCAGATGAAGAAAGAGACCAGATCCCGCTCCATTTCTCCTCAGGGAAACTGCGGAAGATCGAGCCAAGAGAGCTTTAACTCTCACCAGCTGGCCGCTGTGTTTGCCATGGCGGCGCCGGCGTTTACGCCGGGGAAGTGGAGCGAGGGTGCGGCGAAGGTGAGAAGGTGTCCCGGGGAGGTGAAACAGTTTAAACGTCTTGTGACCGCAGTGATCGGGATCTAATTTCACCAAATCCTTGGCAGAGGGGCGAAGATCCAGCAGTGTTTGGCGGTCATACACAAGCAGTGAGCTGACATTATTTGTAACGATAGACACAAACAGCAGCACAAACACAAACAGCGCAGACAGCGAGAGACGGCAGGCCACACACACCGGCGCCATCTTGGGTCTCATCATAAACATGTTCTCGAATGAAAGAGAGATCCAGGCCACGAAGCACGATGCGTCCTTTACGCACAGGTGGTTCTGATTTTAATGCCAATATTGGAATTTACATTGTGATCTGTGCACGCAACCCACCTTCGTCATGTAGGGTTTAAATATATGCAACTTAATGTGATTGTCTTTATTTGGGAAAACGTGTGTTTGTCTTACTGGTGGGTACAACCTTACACACACCAAATCCCTCTGTGCTTATTTGAGAAAGTGTGCAGCGTTTACAGCGACACTTGTTGAGGGGCTGCCTTCTGTCGCCATAGTGTCGCATTGCTGTCCTAAGCCACCTCAAATCCTGGATGACCAATAACTTTCTGATGAGCAACTCAGACAAAACTGAAGTTCTTGTCCTCGGTCCTAAACACATTAGAGAGGCATTCTCTCCAAACATAACTAAGCTAGATGGCATCAGTCTGGCATCCAGTTCCACTGTACAGAATCTAGGAGTTTTATTTGATCAAGATTTGTCCTTTGGCTCCCACATTCAACAAATCTCTTGGATAGCTTTTTTTCCACCTGTGCAATATCTCAGTAATTCGACCCATCTTTTCTCAGAGTGATGCAAAAAAACTAGTCCATGCTTTTGTTACCGCTAGGCTGGATTAATGTGATTCTCTCTAATCAAGCTGCTCTAATAGCATTTTGAAACTCAACAGCTGTTTCAAAATGCAGCAGCTCAGGTATTGACTAGAACTAGAAGAAGGGAGCACATCTCTCCTGTCTGAGCGTCTCTTCATTGGCTCCCCATTAAATCTAGAATAGGAGGTTTTCAGTCATGTGATCCTGACTTTGATTCGCGTGAGGACCAAATGGAGGGCAGGAAGTGACCGACTGCAATGGAGGAGATGCGCCGGAGGAAAACCACCGGCCTCACACCATTCACGGGATTCGGCGCTGGGCTCTTCCCTCTCCGCTCGCCGTTACTGAGGGAATCCTGGTTAGTTTCTTTTCCTCCACTTAGTTATATGCTTAAATTCAGCGGGTCGTCTCGTCTGATCTGAGGTCGTAGTCGGAGGATGGGGGTCAGGGGGGCAGGGATAGGGGCCGAAAGGACCCCCTTTTCCCCGTTCACCCCCTCCAGAGCTCTAGGGCGCTCCGCACCCCCCTCCCTACACAGTTTGACACGACTCAACTTCGAATGAAAGAATTTAACTACGGGCTGAAAATGAGTCATTACCTTTGACAAAGTGGTCACTGCACACACGGGCATTATCCGACGCAGCTCCTCCAGACCGTAGGCCAGTGGTTCTCAAGTCCAGTCCTCAAGCCCCCCCGTCCTGCATGTTTTGGATGTTTCCCTGTTCCAACACACCTGATTCAAATAATCAGCTCTAATCAAGCTCTGAAATGGTTTAATAATGAGCTGATCATTTGAATCAGGTGTGTTGAAGCAGGGAAACATCCAAAACATGCAGGACGGGGGGGCTCGAGGACTGGATTTGAGAACCACTGCCGTAGGCGGAGATTAAAAAGCTATTTTTCCAGCGTTTTTCAGTCAGCTTCTTATATCTTTCCCCTTTGTCTAACACTACTTTGGGCACACAATAAAAGTTCTTGTTTTGTTGCCTGTTCAATCGATTCGAGCAGCCGTAAACGGAGCAAAACATCGGCATGTTGCTGGTCTCTATAGCAGCAACTCACTTCCTGCCCTCCATCTGTATTGCGCGCGTGCCGGGTAACACAGAAGTGACGTCAAGTGAAAACCTCCTTTTCAGTTTAAAATCCTCCTTATGACATTTAAAGCGCTTAATGGCCAGGCTCCATCATATCTTGAAGAGCTCGAAATACCTTACTTTCCGTCTAGACCATTACAGTCTGCAGGTCTGCTCATTGTACCAAATGTCTCTAAAAGTAGTACTGGAGGTAGAGCTTTCAGCTATCAGGCACCTCTCCTCTGGAATCATTTACTGTTTGAGGTTCAGGGGGCAGACACCCTCTCAACATTCAAGAGTAGACTTAAAACTTTCCTCTTTGATAAAGCTTATGGTTAGGGCTGATTTGAACCAGCTTTTAGTTATGCTGCTGTAGGTTTAGACTGCTGGGGTTATCTGGCACACTGAGCTCCTGTCTGTCCCTCTCTCTCCTCTCTCCTTCAGATCTTTACATCCCATTTAAGTCACTAACCAGATCTCTCTGAGTGTCCCTGAGTCTCTTATGTTCCTCTGGACTGATGCTGCAGACCGTCTTCTGTGGACCTGCCTGAGCCCAGCTGCATCATCTATAATTGTCCACCCCTAGCCCTGAACTCCTCCATCGCTTGGGTTCCTCTGTACTGTTTCTAAAGACATGAATGTCAGCCTAACTGACATAAAAACATAAATCTAGAGTAAACTGCCAATTGACCTGCCAACTTTAATCACCTTAAATTAATTTGACACAGTCCATAATTACTTATTGTCATAATAACACTTCTTACGGACCTTTTATGGCATATGTTGTATTTTGTGTGTAGCTATCCCCCTTTTTCTTCTACAGAGGTTTGGCGGCTCCTCTCTGGCTTTTTCAGCTCCAACAACCCTGCACCTCATCTCCTGTAATCACCAGCTGCACTTAAGCTTTGCTTGGAGGACTCTCTATGCCAGATTATTCCCACACCTCTCGTGTGCCTCTTGAGCCCATCCTCAAACCTCTGCCATGGCTGCCACAACTCTCACATTGGAAACTCACCTGCCTTCACTACCACTCACATGCCACATCTCCACACCACACCACACAGCTTCTCCACTCCCTGGACCTTGGATCCTCTCCCCCTCACCTCCATAAATAATAAATATTTCACCACTTCCCTCTGCCTCCAATTTGCTTTTGGGTTCAGAACAAAACTACATACAGGACAACCTGACACTTATTTCTTTATCCTGTACATTGAAGTCATATTCTCCCATCTCACTACTAACTAGATGTCTCTGAATGTCCCTGAGCCCCCCAGTCTCCTAGGTTCCTCTGGACTGATGCTTCAGACAGCTGGCTGCTGTGGAACTGCCTGACTCCAGCTTTCTTAGTTCATGATTCTCTGCCTCAGGCCCTGAACTCCCTCTTCTCTTAGGTCCCTCTGGACTGTTGCTGCAGACATGAACATCAGCCTCACCGGTATTAAGAACATAAAGCTAAAATTAACTACTATTAGGCCTGCTGACCCTAAGAACTAAAAATTTATTTAACATGGTCCATAATGACTTATATCCTAATCCTATAAACTGAATTCATATTGTTTCATCTTTACTTGCTCTGCAACCACAACTCTATATGAGCTGTTGTTGTTGTTGCTCTTATTTTAATGTTGCTGCTGTCCCCTGTCTCTCTCTCTCTCTCTCTCTCTCACCCTTGTTCTCTTTTCTCTCTCCCTCCCTCTCCCTTACTCATTCTCTCTCTTTCCTACTCCCTTGTTCTCTTTCTCACCCCCTGCCCTCCCACCTACTCCTCTCTGTATTTCTCCTTTCCGATCTCTGTATTTCTCCCCAACTCAGCAGCGGTGAGGTGGCTGTCTAACATGAATCTTGTCCTACCTAAGGTTTCTGCCTGTTAAAAGTAAGTTTTTCTTTGGCACTGTCACTCATGTTAGATGAGATCAAATCTGTCCCATCTCATGACTGGGTCTTGGTGAGTGTGGTCTAGACCTGCTCATTTTTTTGGAAAGCATCTTGGGATAACAACTGTTGTGAATTGGCGCTATATAAATAAAATTTGATTGATTGATTGATTGATTAATAATCTGCCTTTTCCTGCTGTGCTTGGTCGAGACCTGCCTGTATTGTTTGACATATTGAATTCTAGCCACAGATGTAACATGGCAGTGACTAGAGCTCAAGCTACGTCATTGGAGGAGCCCTCCCAGACACTCTGTGCCCTACCTAAGTCACGCCAACAAAAAACGGCAGGAGAAATTTCACCATATTGTTGTAACACCATTGTCTAGCCCTGAGCATGAACTGCACTTGGGTCTCGAAATCCCAAGCAATGTCATTAAAATGCAACAAAGTGATCCTACACTGGCACCTCTTTTGCAGAGAGCTAAAGATGAGAAACAAGTAGTGGACCCAGTTTCCTGCAGTAGCGAGGACTTCATCCTGAAAGGTGGTATCCTTTATTGTCTGTAAGAATCAGACATACAACTGTCGTTCCTGGAGAAGTTAGAGAGACTGTGTTGACCCTGGGGCACTCTGTTTCTTGGGCTGGCCATCTTGGAAAGCACAGAACTTTTACTTGAATTAAAAAACATTTCCATTGGCCTGGTTTGCGTAAAGATGTTGCCCAGTTTTTCAAAAGTTGCCCTCAGTGCCAGAGGACCTCCCCCAAAATCCCCTCCAAAGCTCCACTCCAGCCCTAGCCAATTATCAGTACCCCATTTGAGCGATTAGGAATAGAAATTGTTGGCCCTGCTAAGAGGAGTAAAAGTGGTAACTGTTACATGCTTGTAATACAGGACTTTATGACAAGGGTTTATTGTGTTAGTTTAATGAAGTTAGTTTTATAAAGTTTCCCCCCTGTGTGTTAACTTTGGTCTGATCAACCACAATATAGCCTTATTTTCAGTAAGGCTATATCTCTCGGGTGGGAGCCAGCAGGATTGGCAGAGCAGGCAGAGGTGAGCAGAACACCACGATATGGATATAGGTTTCCCCTCTTTGGTGGCAAACAGAGGCTTTTGCTTGCTGGCCAATGGCTGGCCTCTCAGGTAGCGGAACATGGAGGACAAAGGACAAAGCCAGAGTTAGTTCGAGAAATAAAAGGTGCGTTTCTCCTTATAGTTTTTTGAGTGCTTAGAAATAGAGTAAAATGGTGAGGCT